CTAAGAATGGCGATACTCACTGACGATGCCGACTACGATGCCGGCGAAACATCTGGGAATGTACCACGTCCACGGTCCTACTCTGGAAACGATGATGCATACAATGGACTCCGGACTAGGTGCGTTTCTTTAAGTCTTCCTTAAATTTAAAGCTTGATTTAAGTCTAAATTGTTTGGATATGAAGAGAAGCTGGGTTTCGAATAATCCCTTAGTAGATTGACACTTGCATACCATTCATTTCGTCGGGGTTGTAGGACGGTAAGCCGAGGTCTTCTTCGCACAATTCAACAGTCAAAAGTCCAAGACAACCCTCCTTTGGTATCCGGCGCAGTCAATCTACAAATCCCTTCCACCCACCCGCATCAAACGGAATGAATATGATAGTATACATTTTTTGCAGTTTTGTTGGTGATTTACCTTAAGGATTATGAATCTTATGAAGGAAATACCTTGATTGTCGAGTGGGATCATTGACGATACTCTTGCTGGTCATCCTTTAGTGTCAATCTGATGTGGATGTGATAGGATGTGGTCTAATTTTTAGAGGACACTAGTAGAACAGAGCTTGTCAATTATCTTATTTGAAGTCTGTCACTGCTCACAAGTTGCCAACGGAAGGTTTAGCTGTCTTTTAACCGACCTCCCAAACCCATATAATGTCTGTATTTACTTACCAGGCTCATTATAAATAAGAACAATGAGTAATTTTGCTTATTCAAATCTTGCTAGTTCCTTCGCACACGGCATAATAAGAAGCCTTCTTTTTATGGTTAAATTTCGCAAGAATATGCAAAATTAGGTAAAAAAAATTGACTAGTTTCCAATTTTCCATTATCTTGATATATCCTATACTGACACTGAAGCTAATTTTTATCTCCAATTCTTAGCCATGATGTATGGAAACTGGGTCATTCTTGAGCCAGTGATGCTGGTCGAAGCTTCCGTGCCCTCAGAATTTCAGGGGACTCTTATGTCTACTATCACAAAGCGCAACGGAATTATCGTCTCTACAGAATCAAAAGAAGCTATTACAATTGTGCAAGCTGAGGTAAGCTTTCTTGGTATGAAGGGAAATTTACTCCCATCCAAGTTTGCCACTAACCTAGGCATTCTTTACAAATTTTTCACCCACTAGAATTTTATCTTTAATGAATAGACTAATACAATTCTTTTGCTTTTGGAGAGAGTCAAACAATCATATCTTTCTTTTCTTATTTAATTATTTGGTTGGGCTAACAGCTGAGGACGCAGATTCAGTCCCATTTTTGAGTATTTTTATGTTTTGAAGTACTGAGGAGCTTTAATCTATAAAGAATTTTTTTTAGAGTACATATGATTTAGTCTGTCCGACTAACGATGCATTTATAAATCTATATCTCAACACTAAGTATCTGACATTACTCTTGAATACTTTGCTTTTTTGTTTAACTTATGAGCTGTGGTACCCGGCCTCGACATGCCTAATTGTATGACCTTAAAGAGACAATACATCTAAACTATGAATCATTTGAAGGACAATAGAAAATCAGATGGAAAGGTAAAATGACCAGTATGCTCATCTCGGCTGAACCAGACTGGTTCTATAAAAAAAGTTGAACAGAACAAGAAAGGCGTAAAGTTGTTTGTCCTTGTTTCCGCAACTTGGTCATAATGGTAGGAAGATCTAGAGGAACCACCTAGTGCGGAGTCTAGTATGCATAATAATTTCCAGTCGGGCCTTGGACGTGGTGCATTCCCAGGCGTTTCGCCGGCATCGTCAGTAAGCATTGTCATTCTTAGCATCACACTACAACTCGTCAAATAGACAAGAGAAGTCGATACTTTGACCAATTGTCTGTTAAACAATTACGTTTACGGTCCGACTTGAAATTATCATGCATTTATTCATTCACTGTTATATGTTTCATTGTGCAACTTATTTCAGCGTATTCTGTCCACAAACAGGGTAAGTAAATTTTTCGACATCCAATGGCAAGAAATGCATATTTAGAGTGTTATTAAAAGGCTTCTATTATTTCCGTTATTTTACTGCATTTTCTACAAAGGTGCCTCTAAACGACATGTTCGGTTATGCTGGCGAGTTGCGCAGCCAAACCGAAGGTACCGGCGAATTCACTATGGAATATTACAAGTACTGTCCCGTGCGTCCAGCGGTCTCAGACCTCCTTATCAATCAAGCCAATTTATCTTCTGAAAAGGTCTCTAATGAGTCTAAGAAGTCAAAGAAATCAAAGTCATAGGTGCCATCCAAGCAGCTAACTTATCCTTTCGCTCGTTTTGCGTCTTTTAATGTAAATTTTCTTTTACTACACACGTAGAAATTTTTTGCATACCTACACACACACATATATATATATAAGCTTAATGAAAATTAATTCTTTTCTTCCAAATCGGAGCTAAAGTATCTAAAACTTGATATTATATGCTCCGCTACTTAATAGAGCAAATGCCTTTTGAAAAATTCTTTTTCATTAGCATCTATTTAAAATTTGTCCTTTGTTATCCTTATTTGTTTTAATTTTCTTAATGGCTTGCAAAATTTGTCAGTTTAAGACTAGAAATAGTCTGCATCAGCAGCTTGATGCTAATATTATTGGTGGATGAATAGGGTGCTCAAATCTGGCATTTAATCTAACCATCTTGCTATTCAAAACACTTCTTCATCTTAGCTTCCAACGTATACGGAATTCTTTAAGAGCCTATTCTGTCTTGAAGCTCATCGTTGAGTCATTGCTTAATTTGGCTGATTCCGCATATATAATGTGCTTACCAGGACCATATTTTCTAGGAGTGCAGGGCGGGTTCGGAACCTCCGTTCCTCTTTGTTGATCATGAATTAGTCCTGAGGTGAAGCAAGATCAGCCACTTAATTTACCGTATGCAACTCCACCATTAGTTTTGAAGATCAAAATCCTCTAGTTCTTCATATTTATAATAAAACTAAGGGCGAGCTTGCTTATAGACTCAGCTCCAATATAAGGATTAACCAGATCGAGACATTTAATCTGCTTTGTATCTATGTCAATATTAATAGTTTTGTATATTCCTCTTTTTACCTTTCAGTTTAGGCTAAGCCTAATGATGGCTAATTTTAACCCCTGTACATTTTCATTAATTTTACCCTAATATATATTTTTCGTATTTCACTTGTTATATTCATTTCCCAAGGATTGTTGACTTCCTTGTATTAGTGTACATATTTTAAAAGTCAATAGCAAAAACCAATATCAGAACTCTACTTTCGGATAAACCATGATCAACACTTCGGGTTCCTCATCCTGTCGTTGAATGTCACATTTATCCGATTCCTTAAACTACTTCAATTGATTCTCGAACCTCTCCACTGCTCTCGCCAAACTAAATAGAACTATAAATCAACTCAGTTTAGTTTATCATGCTCATGTGCTCAAATTGCTTGTATCTTACTACCTTAAAATATGTAGGCTTTTTATTGGCATAGATGTGGATAAGTTATGCATTTAGATGATCATATCCTCAATTTATGTACTGGAGTCTGAGTTATGTTGGCTCTATTTCGTTTGATTTTATGAAAGATTGATAGTTAAATTTCTCCACAATGACATGATTAGATCCGACGTTTCCATTGAATTTTACATAGCCTTGCTTTTTAAAAGATGTTATCATCCACGGTCGACTGTAATTTCGACCTCGCCTAGGTAGTTAATGTGTCAAGATTACACTGCACTGTCAGTTCAACTCCCTTTGAGGATTTTGATGAGACTTAAGTGAGGCTGAAACTACGGTCCAACCCGCCTTTTGGGAAATCAAGACTGTTAAATTCAATGAAAATGTCAGCTCTACTTATACCATTGTGGTAAAATTCAACTACCTGTCCTTCATCACCTTAAACGAAATATGGTGAATATAACTCATGGCTATGCTCTACCAGTAGTGTCGAAAACCTACTTATAACCAAGTTATGTACTGAGGTGTTTATCGAGCTTTTCTTTGCTCAGAATGTGACGCCAAGTCAAGAGGTATTAGGCCTAGATTTTTGTAGATACAGCAAGGACATGCATCTGGGAGCGAATTTTAGTAATGGGCTCGAACTCAATTAACATTGCTTTATTGAACTTTAAGGGGATAGCAAATCTAGCAACCTCTTTTTCTGGCTATGAAGGTAGGGTAAGGAGAGTCATCGTCCGAGGGGCTCTAGCTCAGCATCTTTCGGCCTTTGCATTGAGGCTATCTATCGTACAGGAAGAAACGAATCTGGTTGCTCTTTATCAATACAATGCCCCGTCAACAATGGGATCCGATCTTCTGATTTGTAAAGA